CGGGTTTGCATGGGATGGCACCAGGGGGTGGGGGGGGCTTCCAGCTTCGCCTTTTAATTGGGACCAGTTAATGCAGACAGTGCCGTGCTGGCGGCTCCTGGCTCGGAGGCTCACGCCGAGTTGGATAAGACCGTGGGAAAATGAGACAAAGTCGGGTCCCGTGCTGCAAATGACACCCCAAAATGCTGCTCGCCTGCAGGGCGGCCCCCATGGGCAGCTGGGGGAGGTGGAGGAAGGCAGGGGGGGGATGCTCATGCAGGCAGCTGCTTGCCATTTGCTAATTAGCAGGGCCCTACAAATATGTCTGTCAGGAAACCCTCCTCGATGCTGTCATTTGTCTTTGCCAGCGGAAGCCGGGAGACAACGGAGGAATCCACGGACTTGGCTGGGCTGCGGAGGGGAGGAAATTAGGGACAAGATGGCTGGTGCAGTCAGGTGGCTTCTAAAATAGCACCTGGGCTGCTGAGGGCGATCCATCACTTTGACAAAAAAAAAAAAAAGGTGTGAGGGCGCTCCATCACTTTGAAAAAAAAAAAAAAAGAAAATTCAGTGTTTGTTGCCGTGCGGTGGTTTGGCTCTGTCCGTCCTCTCCCCGGTTATTTGCTGACGGCCGGGATTTCTGGGGCAGATGCGGGATCTGGCCGGTGCGGGGCAGGTGGCCGGTGCCCAGCTCCGATGGCAGCCTTGTCCCCATTGTCCCTGCCTGGGCAGTGCTCAGCCCTGAGGGGGGCTGGCTGGGGCTGACCCGGTTTTGGGGAGCCCCAGGAGATGATGCGGGGGCTGGGGGGCACTGTGCAGCTCAGCAGATTATTCTGCTTTGGAGCAGGCTGAGTAATTAATAATTATTCTTTGAATAATTGACAAGAAACAAAATATTGCAAATTCATGGCGTGAATTACGCACTGAAGACTGTTTGACCAGGTCCCCCTGCTGCAGTCGGTGCGCATTGACCCCTTCCATGCTGGAGGAGGACCTCCAAATCGTGCAGGGGGATGGGGATGAAGGGGGGAAACCTCAGTGGTGCATCCAGCCCCCTCCCCGCTGCCGGCAGGGCAGGGCCAGGCCGTGCCGGAGATGCCAGGGGGTGACACCAATGCCAGCCCCCTTCCCCGTAGCATCTCCCCGGGTTGAGGGCATCTCCCCATCCCTCAGTGCCATGCTCACCCCTTCTGCCTCTTGCTCTCCGGGCAGGAATGGACCCCGCCACCAACTCCAAAAGCAACCACTGCCTCGACGCGGCCAAAGCCTGCAACCTGAATGACAACTGCAAGCGCCTGCGCTCGGGCTACATCTCCACCTGCAGCAAGGAGATCTCGGCCACCGAGCACTGCAGCCGGAGGAAATGCCACAAGGCTCTGCGCCAGTTCTTTGACCGCGTCCCCAGCGAGTACACCTACCGCCTCCTCTTCTGCTCCTGCAAGGACCAGGCTTGCGCCGAGCGCCGGCGGCAAACCATCGTCCCCTCCTGCTCCTACGAGGACAAGGAGAAACCCAACTGCCTGGATCTGCGCAACACGTGCCGGACGGATCACCTCTGCCGGTAAGGGCCGTGCCGGGCTCTGCGTGGGCTTTTCCAGCCCTTCCCGGTGCCGGGGGGAGACCTGCAGACTGTAGAGCGGGGTTTGTGCAGGACCGTGGCCGGGTTTGCAGCGCTTTCTTGTTGCATGACCCTGTTCCAAGTTTATCGGTTCCATCTTCCCGATGCCATGGGGCATTTGCTGGCTGGGCCTCCTCCAGTAACGGCTGTATTCTGCGCGTAAAATGGGGCAGAGTTAATGGTTTTTGGCTGCTCATGGAGAGGTTGAGGTGCAGCCTCAAGTTTGGTCCCCCCCTGCTGCAGGATGAATCCGTGGGTCAGTGTGGGGCTGCGTGTGGTTTGCCAGCATGGGGGCTGCCAACTGAGTCCCCCACCCCAAGCTCTGATCTGCTCCAAAACCCCCAGTGCAAAACCACGGCTCTGCCTTTCCCTGTGCTTGGCCCGGGAGCTGCAGTGGGGCAATGCCCTCCGGCAGCGCTCAGGTGGGGTTAGAGACGTGGGGCAGAACCAGAGCAGCGGGGACGCAGCTGCCTTTCTGCTGTGAACGGTGGAGCTGAGTCCCTGGGGGCCGTGCTGGCTCTGTTCCCCACCTGGGGCTGCTCCGTCTCCCCAAACTGTGGAGGGGATGAAGGTGCGAAAGGCACCGCGGCAGCGGGGGCACCCACGCCCTGCAAGCAGCAAAAATCCCTCGGCGTGCTTTCAGCATTCCCAGCCAAAACTTCATGGCTGGTGAAATCCGCTGTTTTCCCCCTGGCGGAGTGAAGTTGGGAGATCAGGCTTTTGTTCCGTTATGAAACTCATTATTCATACGGCAAAAAACCTCCTGTCACCCTCCGGGGGCTGGATCAGCCTCATAAAGAATATGTTTCCTACAAGGAGGAGGGTCTTTTTGCCATCAAGGTGATGGAGTTTCCCAGAGCCTGGTGGCGAAATAAATGAATAACACAGCTTCAGGTCCTCCTCTGGCTGTAAGCAAATGTGTTTGAAACGTGAGAATGTGGCTTTTTATCAAAAAGTAATACAATAAGCCAATGTCTATGAATAAAAGATACCAGGGCTGTGCTGAGTCGCGGCCAAATTAATGGTAGTATCTCTCCGTCAGCAGGCCTGATGCTTGCTCTGACACTAAATGCTGCGGATGCATCCGCTCACGGAGGGGGATAACCTGCATTAGCAGCGCGCTGGGGGGACCAGAGAGGCCGTGGAACTGCCGAGCATTAATTATAAGCCCGTTCCTGCCTGAAATGAAATTCCACCAGAAAGAGGTGAAGCAGCAAAGGGGGAAGTGTGTGGCAGCTGCTTTGGCTGTTTGCTCCGAATTGGAAATGCGTTTCTCCAGCAGCAGCACGGATGCTGCCCAGCTGGTGAGGGGCAGCCCTGGCCGGGGGCTCTTGCTCTGCAAAGCACCCGAATCCAGCTTTGGGCATTGGTTTGCAGTTTTGCCTTAACCTCGGCTGTTCTCTCCCCATGTTGGGGTGTTGCAGGGCTGTGCATGGATGCACTCCTTGGATCTGGGCTTGCAAGAGAAGGTCCCATCCCATCCACTCCCCTCCTGCAGCTCTGCCCCGGGGGGGCTCCGGCAGCGCTCCCGAGGCTTGGGCAGGCGGGTTTGCTCCAAACCCCCCATTAAAAGCGGTTGCATTAACCAGGCTGTGGCACTGGGGGGGAGTGAGCTGTGTGGTGCTTAGCTGCCGGCTGAGGTTAAACCACGACAGTCACAGAAGGGGTTAAGAGCCTCCAGCGGGGAGCCTGTGCCTGGGGACACTCAGAGATGCTGACATGCTCCAGCAGCTCACTTGACCTCCTTGTGTTTGCAGCTGTGAAAGTGTTTAGAAGCGGTGGCCTACCTGGGGTGAGCCGTGCCCGGCACCTGAGCTGAGGGGGGGGGAAATAAGAATTTTTCCTCTATTGATGTTGCCTTGCAAGCGAGAGAGGGTCTGGCTTTTTTCTCCCTGGCTTTTGGGATGGAGATGGTTCTGGCAGAGCCTTCTAGCAGGGGCTGTATGTGCGCTGTGCTTTCCCTGGGAGCGGGCATGCACATGCAGGCTGCACTTTATGGTCCTCGCTGCTGTTTTTCCCCCTCCACCTCCGTCTGGAGGTCTCCTGCTGGCACGTCTTCACCAGCGATGAAGGAATGGCCCTGCATGCTGTGCCTGATGCACACACGGGCATCATGTGCCCTGGCCCATGGGGAAAGGATGTGGAGGAGAGCTGGTCAAGGAGAACCATCATTAGCAAGAGACTTGTCTGAGAGCCTGCTGCCCTGTCTGCTTGACGCTAGCTGCCTGACTATCCAACGGCTGTGAGTCCATCTACCCCAGCGCTGCCCCAAACAGGGGCAGGGAGTCACAGCTCCCATTGCTGTGGGTCTAGTTTCCCAAACGAAAGCTGGGCATGGACTTACTCACCAGCCGAACCCCGTCTCCCACAGCCTCGTCTCCTCCGTGTGCGTCCCTGGCGTTTCCCAGCTGCTCCAGGCCGAGAGCGCCTAGCGAGCCTGGAAAGCCCAGGCTCAGGAGCTGAATCAAACCTAGGCTGTCTAGCCACCGTGTGGGTAAAGCAAACTCCTCCAGCAGCTGCTGCTTGCACTTCGTCGGAGGGTTTTAACCAATGTGGAGGTGCCGTGTATTTGGGGTGGATTTGGCTCGGTGCAGGGGGGTCTCATTCAGCGGTGATGCAGAGGTCCCTGCTGCAGGCTCGGTGCTTGGAGCTGCTGTGCAGACAGGGCTGCACCCAATGTGGGGATCTACAAACTGGTACGTGGCTCCAGGACCCCTTGAGATGCTGCTGGTCCTGCTCTGGGCGAGCAGCTTGCTCTGCTCTTCTGCAAAAGCCCGGGGGGTTTGCATCCGTGTGCAGGCTGGGTGAGTTTGGCTGTTTGGTGTCCCCTTTGCCGAGCGGTTCTGGGCTTGTTTTGCAGGGACAAGGTGGTCTGCAGGGCTGCCTGGTGCTGGGGGGGCCTCTCCTCTCTCTCTCCTGCCTCTCCGAGGCACCTATAAATAACAAAGCATTGGCAGGCAGCCGCTGCCAAGATCATCACCAGATGCTGAGAATGTGTATAAATAGAGCGTGCAGGCTTTGTCCTCCTTCCCACAGCATCTGCACCCACCAGCCTCCACCCAGGAGCAACTGGGCATGAAACCCCTCCGTGTCCCGTCATCCCAAGGCCCTGCCTGCAGGCAAGGCAAGGCTGGGGTCTGCCGTCGGATTTCCCGTCGATGCCTGTGCTTATCGGGCTGGCATCGCGGACTGATGCTCATCCTCCTTATCTGCATGTGGGACTGGCAAGGGCATTGAACTCAGAAGCAGATCAGCAAGCTGCTCTGAAACCCAGCGGTGGCAGGAGATGAGATAATGTTCCCACGCGGGCTGCGAGCGTAATTAAGCCTCCTGGCTGAACGCCTAATGAATGGCGGAGCCCTTGGTAGCAGGGTAGGACTTTGCGGGGAGATTTTTGCTGCCATCTCGCCGCGGTCAGTGCTGAGCTGGGTGCGTGGGGATGCTCCTCGTAGGGGCTCCTGCTCCTGCAGGACACAGCCCACCCTGAGGTCATGTTGCTTCCTTCCTGAAAGAAGCAGAGGAGTTGGGGAAGAGGGCGAATTAATGGTCCAGCATAGAAAACAGTCATTCTGGAAGTTTTTCATGGCTTTCTGCTGCTGCTTTCCAGCTGCTCAGGGCTGGTGGTTAAGTGGTCGTTGAACACCAGCCCCTGTCCCATCTGTGGTCCCAAAAGCTGGGGAGATAAAAGCCACCAGTTCTTCCGTCACCGCCGGTGGAAGGTGATGTTTTCTGAATGCTTTGGGCTGGGGTATTTTAACCTGCGGGCAGCGTCCCAGCATGGAGTGGGCTCCCGATCACCCGGAGGTCCCCGTGGCTAGGAAGAGGGTGCTGTGCAGCCCCTCCATTCTGCACTGCACAGGGAGGCTGAGGACACGAAGGGGCCAGGATGCGGCCCCCGAGCTCCCGTGCGCCTCTGCATGGGCTCAGGTCCTGGCGAGGGCGAGCGCTCAACCTGTGCCCTTCCCTTCCCTGGAGCGGGGTGCAGGATGTGGGTTATTCTGGGCTGAAATCCTGGGCTTTGCTTTGGACAAAGCAATTCAAATGGCCTTGACCTGCGAGGCTGCTGAAAATCTCCTGTGAGATGCCCCAGCCCCTTCGCCCAGCTCCTGGCCGTGAGAGCAGGAGCAATCAGGCTCAGATCGCTGCAATTTGTGAAGCTTTTCGTGCCGGGAAGCTTTTCCTCGCACAACGGAGGAGCCTGACAAACTCCCCGAGCTTTGTGTCTGATTGCAATGGACAGGTTTTAGCTCCCAGAATATAAAAACCTTTTGCAAAACACTAACCTCAGCTAAGGGGAAAGGGAAGGAAAGGGGAGAAAAGAGCTGATTTCAGCAGCTGCAGTTTGCTGTATTTTTCATCTTGCATCAGCAAGTCAGGAACACAAATAATCTGGTCTTATATGCTTCAGTGATGCTGGTGCTGAAGAATTTCCCAGCTTCCACTGGCTGTAGCTCCTCAGCATCCAAAAGCAGGGTGATGTTTCATTTGCCTGAGTTTTCTCCTCTTTTTCAGTGTATTTGTGGCTGAGGCGGGGGATGGATCCTGCCCAGCCCCTCGCAGGACCCCCGTGTCTGCGTGCATTGGTGAGGTGCATTTCTGCACGGCAGAAACCGTCTCTCTTTGGCTGGGGTTGGGGTGCTAATTCGGGAGTGATACCCCGGGGAGGGGAAGCCTTGCTTCCTCGCCCGAGGACCCACGAGGGAGGCTTGGCTCAGGGTGTGTGCGAGGGAAGGAACGGATCCAGGCTGGCTTGGTATTGATTAAACACCAAACATGGGAACAAAACACTTTTTTTTTTTTAAACCCACGTTCTCGTCTTCACGCCCTTTGTTTAGCACAGACAAAGTGCCATCTGTAATGGATGGTTCCTTGATAAACAGCAGGGCGGCAGCTCAACTTTCTCGTTACGCCATGTAATGAGAGAGGCTCAGAAGTCCATCTGG